AAATATCTGCTGGGATATGGAAATAGTCCTGTCTTACACAGTCTGTCTACATGATATTTTTAATTAGATAGTATTTTACGTTGTTTCCATCTAGCCAAAGAATAAAATGGAGGGAAATTTTAACTTATTAACAAAACTAACTATAAATGATAAATTTATCTAGTTTGAAATAGAGAAATTCCTGATTTTTAAGAATATACTTATGAATTTTGGAACAATATTTTTCTTCATTAAGTACTAACAAATTTAAATGATGGAATTAAAGTATTTTTAGAGCTCATTAAAAGCCACAGTAATAGTGATTTGGCATGTATGTTAGAAAATTATTCAGTTGAATTAAACGAAATATATTTACATATTACATTAATTGGACAAATCCAAGCACACCAACTATAAAAGACATGGCACGAATAACTAAATCTTGAGCTAACAGGAGAAGTAGTTTATTAGGACAATTTTGAAAGACATCTGATCACAACCAGAAGAGGGCAGTAGAATAATTCTTAAAGCAACCACAACGCAAAAAAAGAAAAATAAAAAAGAAAAAGAAAAAAAACAAAAGTTTGTTTCTCAAGTTTTCCGTTAGAGTTATGACAACCATATATCTATTTATTTTTTCTTTTCAGTAATGATTATTAGATATTATGGCTACATATAATCTATTTTTCATGACTATCTTTCAACATAAACTGCTACTGTCAAATCACAAAAAAAAATGAGGAAAACTTCTAAATATATTCCTTTTGCATACTGAACGTTTTCAAAAACAGAAACAGGGAATCTACTGAAACAGCTACAGAGCATAAACAATTCAAGGAAAAAACCTAGACAATAAATCTTAAAATAGAGAGATCAAATAAAAGTTTGTTTTGTAACATTTTCTGCTAATCTAGGAAAAAAGAAGAAATTCTAGCAAGTAACGCTCTTTATAAAAAATTGTCTTAGTTATCTCCATTAATTCATACCTTGAGACCTTCAGCAAGAAAAATCCAGCCACTTTAATGTCTGCCATATCTAAGTCAGGGAAATAAGACTTCCTAAACCCACAGAATTTAAATCTTATAGAAATGTGTAGATGCACAGCATGGATCACCTTTTTAGCCAGCATGAAGGCAGTTCAGATAAGAGGAAGAAAAACATTTAACTACTTTAAAAAGAATATTTTGAAATCAAGACAGGCTGTCCAGCAAAAGAAATTCTAAAATCATGCCCAACTAAAGAAAAAGGAAACACAACAGCAACATGAAAACAAAGTAAGTAAAAAAACCTTGCAAGCTGGTTTTTACAGTATTTTCACACTGTTAAAACAAGTTAGACGTCAAAAGTCCTGATGAGTTATAGTTGTAACAAAGGCAGTGAGCTCACTTAATGCAACATCTCTTTGGAGCTGCCAAATTACAAGCCACAGACCAATTGCATCAGAATCACTTAAGGGAACTAAAACAAAGAGAAACAAAAACAGACTCCTGGGCCCCATTCCAGACGTATTGAACCAGAATCTCTAAGGTTTGGAAACCAAGAATATGCATTTATTTTTAAAAGTCTACCAAGTTTAAAAACTGCAGCTTTATACCATAACCCAATGACAATTAATCCAGCCTGTACTTGAAACACTGCAGTGATATGCAACTTGCGTAAAAGAAGGCAGCCCATATAGAGAAGTAGAACTTCATGCTTAGTGATGTCACTGGTAGCTTTAAATTGGCCATAGAGGGAGTATTAACACTACAGAAATAAGGAAATGCAAAACAAGGGCTTGATTTTTTGTTTTGTGGGCTGTCTAGACTAGGGGAGGGAAACCTACGGTGTTTGTAAACAAAGTTTCATTGGAGTACAGCTAGGGCCATTTGTGTACAGGTTTTTCCTTGTCCTGAAAGCCTAAAATATTTATTCTCTGGCCCTTTACCAAAAAATTTGCTTTATTTTTCTCAACTTCAAGTCTAGACTTAAGAAATTAGTGGAGAAAATAAAATGCTACAAATGCAGATGAAGCTTAAATTGTGCTGTTACATTGTGAACAGAACACACACACATAAAATGAAGATATGTAAGTCTAGTATTTAATAACTATTATTTGGCTTATCAAAGAAGGTACTGACCTCATTGACAAAGGAGTGTGAAGCTCAACATGTGTCCCTTGTTTCACTGTTGTCTTACTCATTAACCCAAACAAAAATAGCCCTGTTGCAACTATACTTGTTCATCAGTTACCACTGTAGGGTGGCTACTGACATAAGAGTTCAGCAAAAAAAATCAACAAAAGCATTCAGTGTCTATTTTATTATTATTTGTAAATTTATGCTATGCATCCTTTGTGTCAGCAAATTTGATAATGAATATATACATGTGAAATATGTATATTTATGTATAGATGTGTACATATGTATATATGTATATACATTAATATATATATTGCATGTACACACACACACAGACACACGCACGCTTTTTTCCCAGAAAGCTGGTGGTTAAACATTTACCATCCAATCAGTTGCTCCTTCTTGAAGACCTTTTTCCTCTTATCCCTACACTCCAATCTATTAGCAAAAATATCAGCTCTCTCCCCAGATATATCCCATATTCATCCACTTGTCACCGTTTCTACTTCACGAGTCCAAGCCACTTCCATGTCTCACCACGGGGCCTTTTCCCACGTCTCCCTGATGCTAATCTTGCCCTCTAAAACCCATTTTCCACCTAGTAGCCAGAAAGAACTTGCAAAAATCTAAATTACTCCCATAAAGGAAACTCTTTTAGAATAAAATCCATTTAGAATGAAGCCCGAAAGCCTTGCCAGATCATACAAGCCCTACATTCTGCAGCCCTGCTCACTTCTCTGACTTCATTACGTACCACATCAACCTCATTCCTGCCCTCGAGCCTCTGCTTGTCAAAGAAGCTTGGCGAGGAGGGTTCCAACCCAGACCTTTACCTTACCAGCTTCTTGGCATTTTACAACAGCTTGAATGTGGCTCCTCTGGACAGGCCTTCCCATCCACCTGACTAAACCAGTGCCTCCTCCGTGTTGTCCCCTCGTCCTTTGTCCCAGTGTATTGTTGCAGTTGCCTCATGCCACATTGCACTATCTGAATTATCTTTTTCATTCACTAGTCTGTTATCTATTACTATATTCCTGTCTTGTTTACCATTCTATCCCCAGCGTCTAGAGCGCAAGGAAAATCACAGGCATTTAGTAAATACTGGTTGAATGAATGCATGAACAAATGAACAAAAAAACAAAAGGAAGCTTCTGTTATCCCACTACAGCCTGATATCTTCTTTGTTACAGTGACAACTCTAAATACTAGCCCATTCTTCCTTGTATGAAAGCCTGCAACCTTACAGAATTGTCCCATGTACAAGTTTAGGTTTGTGTAACCTGCCTTTTGTCTACCTTTCCAGGCTTAATTCTGACTTTCAGTAGTGTTCTATGCTCTCAGCACATCAGCAATACCACATTGCTATGCAGTACTAATAATCCAGTTTTAGTCCTTCCGCAGTCATTATCAAGACAGCCTGTAGCTTCATGAATCTCTTATTTTGCAAACGCTTCTCATTCTACCTGGGGTGCTCTTGCCCCTCTTGTTTCCAGGTCAAGCTCCTATTCGGCCTTTAAAACCCATCTCAAATGCAAACCTATCTACGGCTCCTTCCACGTGTCTTCCCTTGTAACTCTGGTCACAGCATTATAATGTGTTTTGAAGTCTGGGATGCCAGGGCCCACAGTTGCTGTCATCTTTATATCTCTAGGACTTAGCCCGGTGCCTGGTACATAATAGAGAATCAACAAGCTGTTGCTAAATTGAATGCACGGTAAGTCTAACCCCTCTTGCATGATCTATGAGGACAGCTAGCATGTTATTCATTGTTCACCCTCCTTCCAACTCTGCTCTGTTCCGAATTAAACCTATAAACCAGGAAATAATAAGGAGTAAAGGCAAACAGATGCTTATACTTATAAAGCAAAGCTAATGAAGTAAGGCAGAAATGTATTAAGTCAATAAATGTGTACATACTAATGACCTCACCAACAATTCCTTGTGATACGACTATGCTGACTTCTATTTTTCCCTGTGGTCTACTCTACTTTTCCCAAGGTGTATAATCCATCTCATTGAAGTCAGTATGTTCTCCTTCCATTTCTTTAACAAGTCCCTAATTCTAACTTCCCTGTTATTATTAACCATGTATTGTTAGTCATCATTTATGTATTATTAACTTCTAAACTGAAGAAGGCTCACCTTCTTTAGTTTCTATTCTATTTATTTACCCAACAAATCTTGCCAACTCTCTGCCTGTGATTCCTCTCATGCTAGATCCTTCTTCTCTATTTCTGTATCTCCACGTCCAGGCTCCTATCAACACATGCCATGATCGACGGGTTATGTCCAGCCGGACTTCTACAGCCAATGTTTCCCTCATTCTAAATCACTCTGTGTGCAGCTAAGGCTTCCTCTAATCAATACCCTCTGCAAGACATCCCTCCGCCCTCAGAGACCTATGGAGTAACCATCCTGTTACGGTCTAAATGTTTGTGTCCCCCCAATTCATATATTGAAAGCTAATCACTAATATGATGATATTAGGAAGTGGGGTAGGAGGTGAGCTCAGAGGTGATTAGGAATTAGTACCCTTATAAACGCGGCCTGAGAGAGACCCTTCACCCCTTCCACCATGTGAGGACCCAGGGAGAATATGGCCAAGGAAACAGGTCCTCACCAGACACCAAATCTGCTGGTGCCTTGGTCTTGGTCTTCCCAGACTCCAGACCTGTAATAAATAAATTTCTGCTATTTATAAGCCGCCCAGTTTATGGTACTTTGTTATAGCAGGTCCATGGACTTAGTTTGTTTGGACTAAAACATACAATGCTCAACACAGAGCCTGGGACACAATAAGTGCCCAGGAAATATTTGCCATTATCATTCTTACTATAAATCAGGATAGTTTTCTTTGGCCTGTTGCTTTTTCCATCACATTCTTCCATATTTGCTACTCACAGGGTTAGAATGCAGCACGGTGAAGAACTCTGGGCTGATGAGGAACTTCACGGGGGGAGACTGTAACAGCAACGTGAGCCTGGATCTGGAGGTAGAGTGAGGCAGGACGTTCTCCCGTCGGAAATCTAGACGGGACAGACCACCAAGGCTTTCAGGGAAATCTTTCTATGAGTTGGAAACTATCTATTCACTTCAGTCTATATTTCAAAAGAACCAAAGGATACCTATATCATTTGTTATCATTTTAATCCCCCCAATACTTTTTCTTTGCTGTAAATTCATACATAATACCCAACTGTTCTTAATCACACTAAGATGGAATTGGAAAATATTTCTAGTCACTGTTAACATTTTAATGCATCCTTTGATTTTTTTTAAACGATTAGATTCTTTTCCCACTGTCCCACAGATCCAGAGATTAAAGTAATTTATATTCTATTCAGTTTTGTGATTCTTTTCTCAGTACTAAAATAAAATATCGAAGATTAGAAGAAGTTTCTGGTGAATTCTGCTTTTTGAGTTGGATTACCAGTTCTTATTGAAGATCAGAAGTTCTTTAAAAGAAAAGCCTAATTTCTTGGGAATCCTTACTTATTTCTTTTCTACTTTCATGAGATTACAGAAACAAACAAAGCCCAAGGCTCTTACCTGCACTGGCTTGGTGGAAGTCGGCTTCCTCCCCTGCCCCATCAAGAGCATTGGTATTTTCCTCAGGCCTCTCATTGGTCATGGTTCTGCGGATACTCTGATATCTAAAATCATGAGCCTAGAGTTACATTCCAGCAGCATCTAAAAGGCAGGACTCAACTGCTCCCCTAGAGCCCAGAACTTTTCACTATCTTCTCAGTCTCAATTGCTTCCTCCCCAAATCCTCATTCCCTGACCTGGATGGGCCATCTGTTGTTTAAATACATTACACTGTATTAAATTTCTTCTCTCCATTGTTTGTGGGACATCTTCCTGACAAATTAATAACACTACAAACATTTTATGGCCCGTAACCAACAAAAACTAAATTCCTATATTGTTAAAGGACAAAAACCAACTTTATGTTCCATAGCAATTAATTCTTGAAAAAGAACAACTGATTTAAAAAGCTTAGGTTGATAATAAAGATGCACCACAAATGAAGATTCTAGAAATTAGAAGATATTCGGCTTCAAATTATAAATGTATATGTTCTGCTTTACTATAGGGATTATCTTTATTTATGTCCTGTTTAGTTTCCAGACAAGGTGTGTATGTGTGTGGGTATTATTTTTTTAAGCAAGAGAAGTCCAATGAAGTCTATGAATCAAAAGAGGTAATAGCTACACCTTAATGACAGACCATGCAAAGATGAAAGAGACAACCGTGCCTTCTACTTTGCACCATGTAAAAATTAGCCCAACCACAAAACAGAACAGTAACAGCAAAATGCCCATCCTCACCGCCGGTTCAGCTGCTCCATCTGCTGTATGGAGTTAGATCTCTGCAGCACCTGTGGGGCCGGGGGAGCTGTGGGTCGCTGCCATGTCGTGGTTCTGTTCACATGATCCACGTAGAAGATTCTGCCGTGGCTGTCAATGCGCGCCTCCCAGTCTAAACAGCAGTAAGGCGTGGAAAGGGATTAGGAGGAGGAGCTGAGGTTATTAATATGCTTCATTAAGTTCTACATGTATTTTCTCCCTCTGACATGCTATAATCTGGGACTTATAATATACCCCACTGCTCTCCTGTTCACTCCTGAATCTGGTGACCAGTCATTAAGCCTATCCTGTGTGTATAATACCAATCCCTAAAAATCTTTCAATGTAGAGAATCTTTCCAAAATTGCCCACAGTGCTCACCCTTCATATACGAGCACCAGCATTTTAGAAATACATGAAGTTGGTTTCATACTACTTCAGATATTCACGTCAAAATTGGCAATGATGCTTATTTTCACCAAAAATTGATTTTTCTCTGTTTTTCTAGGTTACATGAAAGACTCATAGCTGGAAACTTCCACATGCATAATTGAACACAACTGTAGTAAATTTAGTCTTCAGAAGAAAAGTAGCTAATTAGTGCTAGCCTAGTGATCAAACAGTATCATTATCTACAAATTTCCTTTAGCACTTTCCCAAAGACAAATACATTTTCAGAGCAAGGGCAATTTCTTGCCTCCAACCTCAAATAAATATAATGTTTCAAAAGATTACTTAATTTACTTTTATTTTATCTTAAGAAATCATATTGATTAAGTGTGTTAAATCTTTGTAAACAAACATGTAAGTGCATGTTCAGTAAAAATAGAAAGCAGACTGGTCTTCAGAGCCAGACATCCCACCTCAGTGACTCTCCACCAGGCCATTCCTGTATTAAAATCCACACAGCATGAGCTGATCTTTTCAAAAGGCAAAATTTCGAAACTTATTGCAGTTAGGAAGGGTAGTTTATACAGGAAACATGAAAACAGCAGGAATCTATTCTTTAACCAGGAAAGCTCTTTATACATTTATGGTTCTGTGTATGTAATTTTTTTTAAATTGATAAGCACTTTTCTCCTGAGCAGTTCAATTATCTCAAAACTCTCCATGTGATCACATGGCTTATCAACAGACACTGCAGGTCGAATCCTGGAGACCAGGAGGAAGGAATATTTTCTCCTGACCACCTACGGCATTTGCTCTGGAAATGAGTAGAGCTTCAAGCTGTTCAACAAAGTCCTTAGCGTTGGAAAGACCTGCATGGTAGAGCCCAGCCGGCATCAGACCATCACAAAGTGTAGTCGCCTCAGCTGGGAACGGAAAGTTATCTTTTGTTGCTCTCAGGACACTGTAATTTATGACAAATGGTAAGAGAAAGAAAAATGGGGCTGAGGAAAAGCACCACATGGACAACAGATAATTGAATGCCACTCCTTCTCCAAGGTAACAGACTCACAATGAACCATCCTGCCAAATCTGAATTCTTTGGGCACAGCTACAGTCCCAACAGTAGGGCATTTCCAAAAGACCTCATGCTCAGCCTTGATACACTGACAAACAGGAAGTACATTAAAGCATCTTCAGGAACTATTTTCCCAAACCCTTTGACCTATTCCATTGTTTTGCTCTGCTCCCTGCATGTTTTCCCATCTCAACGATCTTGAAAACCAGTTAGCCCCATCTCATTCCTTTCTCATTAAAGCCAGGATAATGGAAGCACATGTACATCAAATCAAGTGCACATGAAAACAAATGGCCATTCTTTCTTCCAAGAACGTTTACAGTAGTTCCCAATTTAAAAAATGTAGAATAGGTAAATTAGCAATTAAAAAAAAGAACAGATACCAACTAAAGGAAGTAGAGAAAGTAGATGCTGCCAAGCTCCCAAGATTAGGTTATTACTAAATTTGGCTCTAAGCTTTCTGGCAGTTAAGGCAGAAAAGGAAATACATTGTTGCATACTTTCCATTTTCTGACCAAAAAAATTAAAAAAAAAAAATCTTCAAAGATGGAGCTTTTTCCTGGAAGTAACTAAATAAGAATTTTCCAAGTGAGATGTGTATTTGATCTGTTTGAGGGCTATATGTGTAGCAAAATGGGAAGGTTGAGCGGAAGATCGCTAAATAAATATATTCACCATTGTGCCTTGCACATAGTATATTATAAATGAACAAATGATTTAAAATGACATAAAGCCATACAAAAATAATGAGTCTTATATTCACCTTCCACAAAGGCCAGGAATAATCTTAATTTGAAGTTCAATAAAGACATTTCTATGTGCAATGGGGAAAACAAAAAAAGCAAGGACCAAAAAATTTGCTTTCTAAGAACATAGGACAGTGAATGCACATTAAGACTATCCCTATCAAATATCATACCTTCAAACTGATGTTGTTACTTTACTCTCCATAAAAAGAAATTCTGTATTGCTGATTTCAAGTGGATGCTTGGCACTGAGTCAGGAATAACTCTTATGCTATTGGCTTCTTCATGAACTACTTATCCACTCCTACCCAAGCGGTCAATACCCTTCCATCCAGGCAAAGGCAGTAGAGGTGCCTGTGGGAAGGGAAGCCCTCTGTCTTATCTAACAAAGTTACTTTGAAGGATACAATTGCTTTAACATCTTATATGTCTTTAACTAGGCTAAGTTTTCTTTCTTTCTTTCTTTTTTTTTTTTTTGTGAGGCAGAGTCCCACTTTGTCCCCTGGGGTAGAGTGCAGTGGCATCGTCATAGCTCTCTGCAACCTCAAACTCTTGGGTTCAAGTGATCCTCCTGCCTCAGCCTCCCAAGTAGCTGGGACTACAGGTGTGTGCACTACGCCCCGCTAATTTTTCTATTTTTTGTAAAGACAGGGTCTTGTTGTTGCTCAGGCTGGTCTCAAACTCCTGGCCGCAAGCAATTGTCCTGCCTGGGACTCCCAGGGTTCTAGTCTTATAGGTGTAAGTCACCGTGCCCGGTCTTGGTTTGTTCTTAATACAAGAAAGCATCTTAATCTTCAATTTTTAGGAAAGTAGCTTTTTAGATTGAAAGTATCAATTATTTTCCTCAAAACTAAATTTTAAGCTCTAAAGAATAAGAGCCCCTAACCCTAAACATAGTAGAAACTCTAAGTTTAGATTACACTTTTCAGATTCACAGCGTACTTTTATTTTTAGGCCTTCATTTTAAAGGATGTTTTAATAATGAAAGTATACAACCACAAAAAAAAAATGATAAATGTTCCCTTATAGTTTTCCAGACCTACCCATTTGAACCCATCACATTAAGTAATAGCCTAGTCCTAACCATATAGCAATGTCCTATGATCCTATCAGAGTCCACTGATCCAGACTATTTAGCCTGAATGTATTCCTACGCCTAGAAAAACTACCCTTTGGGGAAAAAAACACATAAACTTATATAGCAAGTCCATATTGTCTCCAGTGCAGCAATGGGTTAAGTCACAATCACACTGGAGTCAATAAGAGAAAAAGAGAAAAAGAAAATAGTTTTGCAGAAGGGGCTGGGCTGGCCATCCTTTTTTCACTCATCTTACTGCTCAAAAGACCAAGATTTGTCATGCTGATAATGTTCTAAGTGGCTTCAGCCCTGAACTACCTCTAGCTGCCAGCACCATCAGTGACCCCTGAAAGAGAAGACACAGCGAGTTCTTAAGGCACTCTGTGCATATTCATTCCATGCTACTTCCCTGGAAGGCTTTCTACAGTGCCATGCCACCTCCAAGGCCTGGAGCTTTCTTATTTTCTATGAGTCGTTAGAATATTCTCAACCAGCGGTTAGAGTTACATGGCCCACAAGGTCACAGTGCACTGTTCATGGCAAGAGTTAAGATTTTAAGAACCAACTAGTAAATCACCATCACCACTGAGAAGTCTTACTAGTAGGTCCAAAATTCTGGTTATAGCTTATAAAAAATGTTATTCAGTATTAAATAAATTAGTACAGAGAAGTATTTGTCAGAAGGATACTGCTAGAATTTTGGATGGACAATCCTTGGTTGTATCAGACTGCCCCACCACTGCAGGATGTTTGGCATCCCTTCCCCCATCCACTAAATGCCAACAGCACCCTTTAAACATTATTAGAATGAAAGATGCCCCCACAAACTCCAAATGTCCCCATGGGGTAGCACCCCCCACCAATACTGAAAACCTCTGAATAAGAGCGAACACATCTTAAGAATTTTCCTCCTGTTTGTCAGTTACTCATTAAATAGAATATACCACTAAATGGCTTTTACTTTGGATATATGAACTTATTAAAATGAACTGTCAATTGCTTGTAAGAAAAAATATTCTTAAGATGTATTCTGTGCAATGCAAATATCAGTGCTTAAATAATACATTGAGGTATCACAAATAGTGGTCACAATTTCAGCAGGAAAGTACCTGTCTTTATTAAATACAATCTAGAAACCAAAACTATGCCCAGAAAAATTAGAGCACTGATGTGGCTAGGAAGATGCCATTTATCAATGCACTCATGCAACACTATGTCTCCTATCCAGCCTCCTGAAACTCTAATTACTGTTAATCCATATATACATTAAAACAAAGTTCCCCCAGAACTCTCTCCTGGTGTTCCTAATTCATTTTGCTCCAGTTAGACCTAAATATCTTCTGGGAATATTTTTATTTTCTTACTCTAATCTTTTCTCGAAGGGTAAACAAGAAGAAAGTCTTCTTCCCTCTACGTCTGCCCTTTGCCTACTTAAAATGATACATGGTTAATTAATCTCTTGGTCCATTTTTCAAAAACTGCATAAAATACATGTTTCCTATGAGTAATGGAGCTCAGTTATCCAAATGTATGAATGACGGAAGGATCTGTGCCCAACAGAATTTCAAAAGGATGAAGCCAATATTTTGGCAAACTCTGCATAGCACTGTTCAGCTCTTTTGTCAGTACTCACTCAAACTAGCACCCTTTAGGTGCATACCCTCTTCTCTTTATGTTCCACGATTTTTAAAACACAGAGGGTCAAAGGCATCAGCCTCTTGCCACGATCACACATAAGAGGTAAGCAGAGTGCGTGAGCAAGAAGGGAGAGCAATGAGGCAAGAGGGTGTACCTTCCAATGTTTTCTGAAAAGCAGTACTTATGGGGCTTTATAATTAGTCAACAAAATGCATTGCTCTCACAGAGGAACATTATTTAAAAGGACTCCAGAAATTTAGAGTTTGAACTCCATCCAGATGCTGACTGGCCATGGGTATCACTCACAGCTTTGAATACAAGTTGTGTCACTATTTCCCCATATCCCTAATCTTCAACTACATCTCCTTTAAGCGCTAAGTATTTTCTGAAAGTGAAAGAAACGAAATGCTTTTCAAATCCCCAGATAACTGCCCTGTCCCAAATAAGCAGTAGACTAATTTCTGAGATTAATAACACTTCTCTGCATATCCCTAAGACAAAAATCAGACCCTTGTGCTTAATGATTTAAAATGATGTAAGTGAACAAAGAGGCAGGATATTACACAGAGTGAGGTTTTACTAAGAGATTGTACCAATTTGTCTGCTAAATGAAAGAAAATTCATGAATAGGCATCATTTTTAAAAATTCTATTAAGCACCCAATTTTCTAAAATATCCGGGTCTGCTTCCATAATTGCAGTATTTACTCCATGGGCAGCACAGCATTTACAGCTGCACTTTGTTTCAGCGGCACAGTACCAAAGAGGAGTCATCAGCTTAGCACTTTGCAGACGACACCCGCTATGTGAAGTGGCAGGCCCCAGATTCCTTCCTTTCAAAGACTCATGTATCCATCTTTTCAGATTCGTGCAATGAGCCTGCCTGTCAACCTTGCCACTTTGATTAAGGTGGGAGGTGGGCCCTTTAGTTAACAGGTCCTCACTTGGCGGGAGAGCCTCGTCCACCCTCTGGTACCGGCTAACATCTTGGCGCACTGAAGGTAGTGACCGCAATGGCTGGTGGCCGTTGGCTTGAGAACCTAGGATTAAAGGTAGAAAGTTACCCAGGTATTGTTTTCTTTATTTTAAAAAAACCTAACATAAATCATGAGGCTAATCTCTTTTCTCTGTTTAGTCCCATTTCCCATATGAGGACCTAGAAACAAAAGAAGAGAATGACTAAGGGGTGAATGCTTAGAAGAGGGCTTCCTCGAGAAAGTCCTCTGTTCACATCCCTCCCCCTTCTGCCTCTCCCTGTCTCCATCCCTCACCCACCCTGGCTCCTGTCCTGGCCATGCACTCATGCTTTAGGGTCACATAGTGGCCACAAGATAATGAAGGAAACAAAAACAAAAAAGGAGGAAGAAGGAAAGAAGGGACATAGTGGCCACAAGATAATGAAGGAAACAAAAACAAAAAAGGAGGAAGAAGAAAAGAAGGGAATATTTTAGATAGAAAAATAAATTACAGAAGAAAATCATAACTATTTCTGAGTCTACTAGGCTACGCTTTGACTTTTTAATGCATCTACAATAAGACAGTTTAAAGGAATCATTCTAGAGAACATTCAATAGATATAATACCAATTTTAGTGTAATTTTGCATCCTCAGACACTAAAACAGATTGTTCTTCAAGCCAGAATGTATCACCTAACTTAGTTGACATTTCTTATACTGTAGAAAACAAAAACATTTCCTTTGATGCAAAGCACATATTAGCATCTGCTTTGAAGTTTTATAAAGGAGTGACTTAAGGTGTTCCTGCTAAGCTCTGAAGATCACACTCATGTTGAAGCTGTCAGCCTGTTTGGTTTTTTTTTATCTACAAACCCGTGTCCCACTAGAGATTCACTATTTAAGTTTGAAGACTATTGTTTGACAGGCCTCTTATTTCAGCAATAGAAGATCCATTTTTAAAAAAAGGGGCACTGAATCTGGACTCAGGCCTGGCTGTATGCGAATCACGTGAGCTTCAGCCTAGCTATGTGATTGGTTAAGTCCCTCAGTCTCGCCACTCTGAAATGGGAGGCCTGGTCTATAGAAGCGGCTTCAGGTACCCCCACGTGTTGCCTGTTTCCTTCTCTTCCCGGCCCTGTTTTGGATCTTGCCTCTCTTCCCCTTCTTGCTCCTTTCGCTAACTGCTGAACCCCACGGTTAGGAATTCAGGTTATATGGCACCATTTGCATTGAGGAGAAAACTACAGAGCTTCTCTTTGGCAGCTATGCGAGAGCCAAGAGCCCCAGTGTCTCCCGTATCCTACCTCCAGTGGCGCCCTCCTCCTGGGCAGTGGCCCCTTCGCAGGCGCCTCGGGCGCCCCCGGCATCCGCATCGCCCTCTTCCTGGCGCTGGCTCCCAGCGGCGGCGGCGGCTCCCTCCAGGCTCCCTCTCCGCTGCCAGACCTCCCCCAGCTCCTCCCGGCCGGGCAAAGTGGCCGGTTCCACCCCGGGCCCTTCCTCCTCCCCACTGGGCACCTGCACCACGGGTAAAGAACTCGGGGTGCATATGGAATCCTGGGAGCCTTCGGCAGGGCTGCCGCCGCCGGGCTCTGCTGCACAGGCCGCATCTTCCTCCTCCTGCGAAGAAAAGGCCGGGGTTTCGGGAAACCGTGCGCTCTCGAGAGACGAGCACCGCGTCTCCACGGAGGACAGCTGCGTGGTCACGCTCTCGTTGCAGGAGCTGTCGGCGCCCTCCAGGTCGCTCTCTCCCTCGGGCCTGGTGCTGGCTTCGCTCACACTCTCTGTCCTGGCAGGGTCACTGGGCTCTGTCTCAGAGGACACCTGGGAAGGCTCCGACCCCTGGTCCAGGGACTCAGTCTCACTGATGGCTCTGCGGCTTCCTCCTGACGTGTCGGAAGTCCCCGTGTCTGCCCCACTTGTGGGCTGATCCACCTCCTGAGAGCCACACAATTCGGTGCTGCCCTGGTCCCCACTGGGTTGAGACTCAGGGCCACCTTCACCTTCATCTGCGGCTGGGCCTGAGGGTAAGGAGCTGTCTGTGAGCTCTGGAAGATTTTCTGGCTTATCCTCCAGGGGAGCGGCTTCATGTGTGGAGGCGTCCTCATTCTCCATGGGGCTGTCCTCTGGCTTTGTCTGAGATGTCAGGCTCCCGTCGTCAGCTCTGGATGCCCTGCTAAACATGATCAGCCCTCCTTCCTCCTCCAAGGAAGACGGGTAACCCAGGTCTTGCTGGAACTCGTGGTCTTCTTCATCTGAGTCGATGTGAAGCATTGCATTGAGTCTCGTGTCTGTGGGAAAACTACTCCTTAGTTTGGGAGAGGCTCCCATGGGCCTCTCAGAGCAGGTCGCTGCCCCCGGCCTGGAATGGCCGTTGTGTTCAATAGCATCTAAGTAATCATTGAGTGAATCCTGACGTCCTCTGGGAGGTGACGTCCTTGAAGAAGTAGAATTTAATTCCTCTGTGTCTATTTCCAGAGTGGAGCTAGTCCTCAATGAATGCTTGGGGGTCCCGTCAGCAGTACTTTCCTCAGAAACTGGCCCATTAGCACAAACCGGGCTGTCGTGATGGCTGCCTGGCATGTCCTCGTCATCAGAAGGGCTTCCTAGGTCCCCGTTCACAGTACTGACTCCAAGTATGGTGCCAACAGCTTCTGGAGAAGCATCTGAATGAGAAATCAGCATTTATAAAAATGAACTAGAAATAATGAATGAACTTTTTACCTACTTCTTCTTTGCCAACAATCAGTTCAAAGAATTCAGCCATCCCGCTGAGGCTTCCTTACAGCACTACGACTTGCGAGATTCCCCACTCACTACTCTGAGGTATGCATGTGAGTACCACTGGAAATTCTACAGCCCAGTTTCAAAATGCAGGCATAAACCTAAGAGATATTTTTTGGTAAAAAGGCTTTCCTATCTGCTTAGAAAACTTCAGCAGGTAATCATTTGACAGCTATTTTATCTTCAGAACAGGACACAAATTCAATTATTCAAAAGCAAACTGACGACTGAGTAAGATTTAACAAGTTTTTCCTACAGCCATGTATTCATCCACATGTCTCACCTTCGTGAACAGAAGACGTAACCTCCACCTTAAACTGGAGGTACCCACTCACGTGGTCAGCTGGGAGCCTTCTGCCAAGGTTGTAGCTGAGCATTTGATCACTGCAAGAGGAGAAACGGTTCTTTCATCCTTATTACACTGAAGTCAGCCTTCGCCTTCTTCCTGCAGGCCGCACCCCAAGTCCTGCATACCTCTCTTAAAACCTTCAGACTCACAAATAAAGAAAGTAAAAGGCTCAAGGCACATTATAGTCCAAGGACAGGAGCTGGGAGTTAGGAGAGAGCAGCATAAGAACGGGCCACACGTATGAAGACAGCAGCCCCAGCTGTGTGAGCGGGATTGGGCCCCTGAACGCTCCTTTCTCACCTGGGGAGTAAGGGGGCTGGTGCTGCTGCCTGCACTGTCGGGAAGCCTGGCCTAGCACTAATCCTCAGGAGGCTTGTGAGTGATGCTGATGCCATGGTTGGAGAAGCTGCATGTGCCACTGTGGTGGGGTCATGTCCCATGCCTGGAAGTGGGCTGGAGGACCACAGCTGAGCCTGCGCAGTTTTGCTGTGTCTAGGCCCCAGGCTTGGGGTGACAGCCCCGGGGATGGAACTGTTGATCTGTTTCAAGTCCATGTCTGTTTCTCTAAGTCTAATGCAATGAGTTCATTTCCTTGTATGAAAGCAACTTTTATTCTGGATCGAATGACTTAATTAAGGAAATTAATCAAAGGGATAGTACCAAATCACTCCATCTCTGCTCTCACACTGCCCTCTAATGGCTGTGTCAGAAAGAAAATAATGCTTCTATCTAGCATTGCCATCACTGTACACTTTAGAGCTTCTAGCCAGCTATTAATTATTAATTCGCATAACTATTTTTTCTTCCTCCCTATCTCCTCAGTATGACTTCTTTACTTTACTCACAACTTGCAAAAAGCTCACAAAAAGAAAAAAGACATCAATCACATTTTAAGATTCTGTCAATGAATAAATTTGAGTTGCCTAACTGAATGTATATGTCTAGAAGCTTGACTATAATACTTCCTTGGAGTCTCGGTCCCGTCTTAAATGACTCCAAAACAAGATTTTTTTTGTTTTTTTGGTAATAACAAATTATCTGGGTGGGATTAATCAGGATAAGATAGTCATCAACCTGACGCTAGAATTCTGCTCTAGGGAAAGAGTTTTATAGCAAGATTTCAATATACTCAAAAACAATCAAATGCCATGAAATTTGATGCTAAATGCGGTACATCTTGGAAAAGATAAAGATACCAAAGAAAAAGGTACATAATTAAAACAAAGTACTTTTTGTCTAGTACACTTTAATGAGTGTAAAGGCACTTTTGTTTCTTTTTAAAAATTTTTTTATTGAGGTAAAACATACATATATAATTTACCATCTTTAAGTGTACAGATCAGTGGTAATAAATACATTCATATATATATGTATTTTTTAACCTACCTCTCCACCTTCCCCCGCCCCTTCCCAGCCTCTGGTAACCACCAATCTACTCTGGATTTCCATTCACTTTTTTTAACTCCCACATATGAGAAAATGTGGTATTTGTCTTTCTGTGCATGGCTTATTTCACTTAGCATAATGGCCTCCAGTTCCATCCATGTTGTTACAAATAACAGGATTTCATTCTTTTTTATGGCCTAATAGTATTCCATTGTGTATATGTACCACATTTTCCTTATCCATGCCTCCACTGATGGACACTTGGATTGATTTCATGTCTTTGCTATTGTGAATAGTACTGCAATAAACATGAGTGTGAAGATATCTCTTTGATAGTACTGATTCTCTTTCTTTTATATATATACCAGGAGTGGAATTGCTGGACTATATGGAAATTCTTCTATTTTTAGTTTCTTGAGGAACCTTCATACTGTCCTCCACAGTGGCTGTACTAATTTACATCCCCAGCGACAGTGTGCGAGGGTTTCCCTTTCTCCCCATCCTTGCTAGCATCTGTTATTGCTTGTCTTTTTGATACAAACCATTTTAACTGGGGTGAGATGATATCACACTGTGGTTTTGGTTTGGGGGCATTTTTATTTTTAAAAGAATTATATTACCACTTCTTACCCGTAAGGGATGTCCTAGGACTACCGCATATCATTTCACTTGTTTCTGTACAAACTAATCTCAACTAGATCCCTAAAGGTAAGGGCTGATTACCCGATGGCTTGTCGCTCCAGCAGCCTCTGGACCGGAATGGTTAGTTTCCCCAGAAAACGCTTGATGATAGGACGGCTCTTGGCAAATTTGTCTTTAATTTCAATTTCTAAGACATCAGTAAGAAGTGCAAAAAAGGAATATTTCTGAAAACACAAACAGATACCATGTTGGTTCAAAAGAAAGACAAATATGGTATTATATCATTTTATTAGTATAAGCAATGGTATCTCTCAAATTCTGACATACAGAGTCCATGGCACTAGAAATATCTGCAGCCACTGTGAATCTTTTATTCACTCAGCTTCACTGGCATTAACAATGATTAAAAAGCAACAGTCAAGAATCTGTGTGATAAAAGAAGCCCTTTTGTTCAATCATGCAGCCCTTCCTAGTTTAACAGTTTTAGGAGATGTTATCTAATGTTAAGTTATGCACAATCCAATTTTAGTATTCACTACACTGATTGTATCTTAATTCTTTGATATGTAATATCTTGTTATAGAATGGTTTAGAATTAACTAGTATATTTGATTAACAATAACTTTAATTCTAATTCCTATTCTCATGGAATTTTGAAGTTCCAAAACATAGTTTTAAAATACTCCTCTACTTAGCAGTTAAAGTAGGAATATCTACAAAATACTGTGGTTTCCTTGATAAAAATTTTAAAAAAACAATATTTAAATGGAATTATTACTTAAGTTTAAAAGGCACATGGGGTCTCTTCTGGGACAGAAAAAGTATGAAGTTAAGGTAGCCTTTGTTGTTTTCATTTAGAAATGGCATTGGAGAAAATTAGATTGGACATTTATAAGGATATAAAATAATATGAAGAGGTTTACTTACTTTCAAAGACTTTTACATGTATTATCTTCATTTTATTTTTACAAAGATAAAATTTTCTTTTTAAAGATGAGAATCTCAGGATAAATAAATGATGGATCCAGGAATCTAACCTAAATCATTTCTCTGCTTCCCTGACAGTATCCAAGCAACTACAGTGATGTGAATAGTGCTAGCCAGCTTTACACTGTGTGCACTTACAACTACCTAGTCTTCACAAAGTTCTCCAAAGGGCCAGGAAATCTGCCAGTCTGCTTAATGGGAAAATGCACTTGCTTAGAATAAAAAAGCTCAGTTTAAGCCCCACTGCTGCCTCTGAATAGCTAGTCACATAAACACTGTAAGCAACCATTTATTTTCTTTTTCTTGTTTTCTTTTTTTCTTTTTTTTTTTTTCTGAGACACAGTCTTGCTCTGTTGCCCCAGGTAGAGTGCAGTTGGCATCACTATAGCTCACTGCAATCTCCAACTCCTAGGCTCAGTGATCCTCCTGCCTCAGCCTCCCGAGTAGCTGGGACTACAGGTGTGTGCCATAATGCCCAGTTAATTTTTTCTATTTTTATTAATAGTAGAGATGGGGTCTTCCTCTTGCTCTGGTTGTTCTTTTCTTTTTCTTTTTTATTTTAGCATATTATGGGGGTACAAATGTTTAGGTTATGTATATTGCCCTTGCCCAACCTGAGTCAAAGCTTCAAGCGTGTCCATCCCCCAGCTGGTGCACACTGCACCCCATTAGGTGTGTATATACCCATCCCCTCCTCCCCCTCCAAGTCTCCCGCCTCTGCCTCTCAAAGTCTTAGGATTACAGGTGTGAGCCACCACAACCGGCCAAGCTTCAATTTCTTAATCACCATAATGGAGAGATGATAATCTCATCCCATGTACCTACCTCCCTTTCAGGCTTGCACTAGTGACATGGTCAAGAACTTTGTAAATATAAAATGTTAGGAAAATAAAGTTATTGGTTGTTTGATTATCATATCATTTACGTGCCTTCTAGAGCTCATACTGAGATATATTTTATGTCTTCTAGATTTGAAATGTGTTAAATTAAGTGGTATGCCTTTAAGAGTTGTTTACCATCATGAGATCACAAGTACTTTTTAAAACCAGCATAAGAATACAAGCAATATTCATTTATACATCTCCATAACCATAGGAACTGCCCAGAAGAAACATCTTGCAGTGTTGGCAAGTCTCAAACAATCATACCTTTTCCCCAGCTGGTTTTAGATCCCCTGAAATATGTCTCTCCAATTAAATATTTCTACAACATTGTTAGAACATATTGTTGTCATTAAACATTTAAGATATGATCTAATTAACTATTTAACTCCTATGCCAGTAAAGGTTTACTCAGAAACATTCTTACACTAGTATGTGAAACATGCCTCGGATCCCTGAGAAATGTCAAGAGAGCTCACACTTTGCTCAGTTGATGAGAAAAGATGTCCCTTTGTTCATTCTTTGATTTTCCATAGTTCTAATGAGAAAACCCTTTGCTTGTTGATTTCACTGAAATGGTGTCCTGAGATGACTGGCAGCATAATGTCGCCGTGAGGAAGTCTAAGTACCATCAACACAATCTGGATTCACTCAGGATGATGACTCCTGGAATGGCTCATCTAATTAACGGGAATCTAGAAATTCATAAAACGTTTGCCAAAGCCCATAGAAAGAGAAATTCCTTTAATTTATACTGAATATATGCTAGAACAAAATATCAAACTTTTAAATAAAAACAGGATCAGCGTTACCGATTTTTCCTCTTCCTCAGGCTCTACTATGACTCTGTAAGGCCATGTTGTTGATCTTGTCCTTATTTGAAATTTTGATATTTTGTTCATCATGAATTTTTTGCATTAATTTTGATTATTTAAAAAATATTGCATTAATATATTTATTTTGATTAGTGAGTCTTTTGGTCCTTAAATTGTGCCCCTGAGGTAAATGCCTCATTTGTCTCACCCTAGACCTAGCTCTGGAGAGATGGGAATAGCTCATTCTTATTGTACCCTTTTTCCAACAGAACCCCTAGACACTCAGCTATCTTGCCCACATCCATAAACAGCTAAAAAGGTTGCACACAGTCCTCAGGAAAAAGAGAAACTTGGCAGACTTCCTAACTATCAAGTAGAAGACCCCTGAAAATCATCTTACCTCTCGGTGCCAAATGGGATTAGTGGTGTTACTGATGATAGTAGACCTTCTCTCCTGCCCATGGTGGGCACAGGTGGGAAAACTGCTCTTCTTCCCTGGCTGAATGGACATCTTGAGATAAGGGTCAGGATTGAAGAACATCCCTTTCTTTAGCCCAACTGCCCTAAGATCTTTAAAGAAAGAGAGAGAGAAGGAGGGAGGGACAAGAGACAGCAGGAAGGAAGGAGGGAAAAGGGGACAGAAGGAGGAAGGAAGGACCCAAATATCCTGATTAGAACAGGCAGCTCAAAGACAATTTGTTCTTAAACAAACACACAGGAAGTTCTAAACAGAAACTATTCAGTAAAACAATAGCAAAGTCATTCATGCTGCGATTGCTTAGATAAATGAAGACAAGTGGGTTAGGGCAGTAATTCCAGCAGAGGGGTCTCCTAACAGGCTTCAAAAATGAAGCCAAACTTTTACCACCACCTCACACCCTGCAACTGGCTTTCCCTGGAAACCATTTTGATTCCAACATGTACATCTTCACCACCTTTTTCCTAGGGCAATGATGTGGTTTGGCAAGCAGAATTTCAATGTCTGGAGAGAAATCTTTAGTAAACAGTTTACTGAAAAACATGTTCCTTCATAAGGGAAAAATGAATCTTTTACATCTATCTATGTAGAAATGAGTAAGGACTAAGTTTAATTGGAGATAAAACATCAGAGAACACATCCATTTGTACCACATGTAAAATGTCATATATATTCCAGAAATGTGATGAATGTTAGGGGAAAAAAGTAGACATAAATATTTTGAAAATGTGAATGCTACCTGCTATTGTAAATAGCTGGTAAAGTAATTTAAATATTTGATGAATGTCCTATAACTCACCTTAGATTCACAAGTTGTTTCACACCATATGAGCTGCTAAAAGTCCTAGCTAAAGTCCATTTAGTGTGAAGACTGATATTTTTTTAAATGGTCAGGCTAAGGAGATACAAAAATGTCAGGAAATAAAGCTGGCCTTTCTGAGAATATAAGTTTGAATAAGGTAGGCCTGTGAGCTAAGTGATCTTGAAAAATGCTAGATGATCAGTCCTAGGAGGTCCTGAATACTTGGTTCACATAAAAATTCTGCACATGGCCCCTGAACCTCCAAAGACCTTTGGACAACCCAGCTTAGCTGGGGAACAAACCTTATATATTGACCCTAAATTACAGGAGGTCAGCAGGGCCATCCCATGCAAGCCCATTCCTGAAACAGGTCTTTCATAGGACAGAATTGGCCTGAGATTGCCCATGGAACCATATTCTCTAGGGAATGCTCCCTGGAGGAGGCTCACCAATGGCCCACAAGAACCTGTAGCCTAGATACATGTGATGAAAATAGCCCAGAAATGTCTAATGACACAAAACTGACAGTAAATATTTAATATTTATTAATATGTCAGGAAATATTTAAAAATTCAATCAAGAGGATCTTATGTTAAGAAACACTGCATGACATGTAGTAAGATCTTTGATCAGAAAACAGACAGGGGAAGGAAAAGACAGGAGCTAGACAGGCACTTCAGAGAAGCTGCTGTGGTATTATTAGCCTCATAGTTCCCATTCTTGACACTTCATAAGCTATGCAGTCATTACTAAATGCGGCAATTTGCATTTTACTGTCAATTTAGTAATGCTATGTGTTTTTATTTGGTTTTATTTAGCATAAAGAAGCTTTGACAGTAAAATGAAATTCACATAATTATTTTCTTGCCTTTCTCAATTATGCTCCCCTTGAACTCAGAGACAGAAGAATGAAATTCTTTGGATATTAAATCTACTCTAAAACAAGGGATTTCTTTGTGGTAAATGAAGAGTAACATGGATAGGAATGGCTGCCACAAAGTCTGAAAGAGCTAAATCATTCACAAAAAATAATCCTTTTCACAAAAATCATTCCACCAGAAGATTAAGTCACTGTGATGAAAGATGTCACTGTGAGATAACCATGATACCAAATTTTCCCACAATGGGGCACTTTGCAAATAAATATTCATTAATAAATACAATAAACTACCAACAATTTGCAATCTAATTATTGAGTTCCTTTATCCATCTCATTTCTGCTCTTCTCTCTTTTATATATTTTATTGTTCATAAATATCCATACCACATATTAGGCAGAGAAGGTCTCAAAGTCACAAAGGTATGACACAGTAAATATTCTAGTTAAAGCCTAAGTTGGAGGAGGTTTAAAATATTAATCAAAACACAATTTTTATTTTATCTGTAGAGTTCAATTATTTGTGTCCTTACTTACCCATAGATAAGAGTAGACATTTGTAGGCAGCCATTCTACAGTGCTTACATGCTCTCAGATAAATATTATCATCCACTCTCAATATGCTACAACCAGATGAATTTTTTAGAATTAACATTATAGAACTGGTTTCATCACCTAGCCATTTCAGTACACTATCTGCAACTGGCTGACTGTACGGTAAGTAATGAAACAGATGTTCGGCAGCTAACCTCCATGTGAACAGAGGTGAGATGTTGTAAGAAGTGTTAAAAGAAGAAGCATTTGACTGAGCCCCAAAGCTTATCTTCTACTTTTCAGGAAAATGCCCTAGGATTTTTGGCTCCAGATGGTCATTCTCCCATACTGAGTTAAAAACATCCTCTATAGAGTCAAAACCAATATGTGAGTATAATATTTGGAAGGATACGGATCACCTGAAAGCATAGAGCAATAATCCTAAATTAAGAAACCCATGGCATGGTCTTCCTACAAATTTTCTGAGCTTTGGGTTTGGCTAACTGTTCCCTACCTATCACCAAGGATTATAGTACCTGCAGTCTCCTCAGTACTGTGAGGGTCTAAAGCACAGGTGGGTAGCCAAAATGTTTTTAGGAAACATTGATAAGGGGAGTAGGGCTGTAGTACCACAGGCAGTGGTAGTTTAAGTGCCCTTCTAAAAACCTCGATATTTTTAAAACCCCGAGGGTTCCAAACAAAATATATTTATTGGCCAAATTTGAACCATGAAGTCACCAGTTTATAACCTCTGAGATTCACCAGGGAACCAAAGCGAAAAGGATTTCATATTTAGCAAACTCCTGTGGCGGGAGAAGGAACATGCAAAGACAAAGACACTCAGAAGGTCATGGACAGCAATGAACTGATATGTACACTTTCATCACACGTGGTAATCGTGCATTGCGGAATTGTCTCTTTCAAGATCAGGTCTCCTAACTCTCACTCCTGAGAACATCTATTTTCACTCACAACATACTTCTGCAGTCAAGAACAGTGGATCTAATTTAAATTTCAGAAGCATTACATCTACAGAAAAATGAAAACAAAACATCTTACAGTGACAGACATCTGTTAGACTTTATTTCATATGTATTGTATAGTACAGGAGTCTGTTTTAGATGCCCATTTCAAATACTGATTTTCTTAGAGTATACTTGACTTCATGACTGCCAATTCATTTTTTAAAATGAGGACTTTCAAACTTTTTGACAGTGACCTATGTGTGAAATACATTTTACATTGTAACCCAGTATACATATACATAGCCATGCTTATTTTTGTGTATACAAATTTTCAGTTGGTATAAACTGTTGCTTTACCAAAAGTATCTCCCTTTGGTGGTAAACTCTGATATTATCCTATTCTTTTTTTTTAATTATTGGTTTCAACTAAATCAAACTTCAAAACTGCAAATGAGTCCCAACTCATAACCTGAAAAGTAGTGTTTTAATTGTTTGATAAATACACAAGCAATCTGAATATTTTACTAACCATAAAACAAGCAAACACATTGGCTTTTCCACTTTCCAATTTTTATGTGTATTTCTCCACAGAAAAAGAAGTATACCTTTGCTTTTTTTCCCCACGAATCTTCAAATTTTTCCTTTCTCTAGCTGAGGTAAGCATAAATTGTTTTCAATAATCAAAGCTCCTCAGTGGGATTAGCTTACATTACGTGACAGTTTTTTTAAAGGAACTATACATAGTTATATAATTTCTATAAATCACCAGAAAATTTGGCAGAAGAAATAATTTCTGAATTTATATTAATAATCTAATTTTATCATAGTAAGAGACATACTTGACTTTCCAGAAGTATGACAAATAAACTAGTTCACATATCATATATCAAAATCTGTAGAAAGAAGTGGCTATTCATACCTTTGAAATTACACACTTTCAAACTGGATGCCACATTTAAAGACATTCTTACCTGACAATGTAAAGCTAACAAGTTTCCGAGAATGCAGATTCCCCGAAGCACCTCCTTCTGTGCCTTCTGCCCCCATCTGACAAGATAAAACACATATCTTTCTAGGGAACCACATATATGTCCAAATAAACTGAAATACAATTTTTTGTATCAAACATGTATTGTATCATATATCTTTTCATTTCCAAACCTTGGTACAGAGACACAAACAGATTCTCAGAGGCAAGAGAAAGGATCATACTTAAATTTAATCTTTACCCAAAATAAAAAAAAATAAGCTTTGAAATTCCTATGAATATGAATGAGTTTACTTTTCCCCCTTAATAAAAATATAGTTGATATGCAGTAAATGTACTTATATTACTATTACTATATTAAACATTCTCTTTAGTTAAAAACCAAACATCGAATTCCATCAGATTAGGGAAACGTAGAACAAATTAATTTCTATCAGACTCATCCATATATACAGAATTATTCTCTCTTATCAGATATTTCTGTGTCCAAGCAGGTGTCCTAGCTCCCTTGTAGTTTCTGCTCTATTGTGCTGCAGGTACATGGCACATGCTATTATAATTAGCAATAATAAGAATTTGCAGTGCTATTGTACTGATAACTTTTTCCTAAAAGCTTTTGAGTAAAGTATATCTCATGTGAAGCCAGTAATTTATAGATCACATAGTAAATTTGGACCTTCTTTCAATTTATATACAATTAGTACATAATTTATAGTACCTGAGGAAGAAAAACCTTCATGATACCCTGAAAAAGAAGTCCACAATCTTGTAAGAGACAGAATTGAAGGCAGAATATATTCTGAATAGCCAGGAAATAGAAACCACATTTCAATTCTAAAGTTTAGATTATTTACATTAAACCTTTCTGACAAAGATTTTTTTCCTTGACCAAACTTTAGTCAGGCTCCTTTTGAGCCCTGTGCTCAACTAGGCCTGACCTTGGACTTCCATCTTCATCCTTGTAGAGTTTAGTTTGGCAAAACCCTGCTAAGTCAGTTTAGAGAGGATCCCCAACCTCAATATGTGATCACCCTCGATATCAGACCAAATTCCTCATCCCCTTCCAGCCCCCGGGTGATATCTGATCACTTTGGCCTGCCTTCAGCAAGAGTCTGTTAGGTCAGTTTAGCAAGAATCGCCCTACCCTCCTAGTAATTTTTCATCCACCAACCCTCCCCCAACCCTGCTCCTGGGCTATAAATCCCCACTTTGCTTTGTTATATTTAGAATTGAGCCAGTTCTATATTGAGGACTCTCTTCCCCTATTGCAACAGTTACTGATTAAATTCTGCTTTTACTGCTTTAACTATTGTCCAGTTCTGGTTTTCTTTGACACTTCCTCCATCTTATCTTTGCAGCACTCCTCATACTCCTGGTAAAAATCACATACCACCACCAGGGGATTAAAAACCATCACTAATCTAACTAAGCAAAGTTGAGAAATTTCATTCAAATTTTCAAATATAAATTTCTATTGCCTTTGCTGTGATTCCTGTACCTTAGTCAAGACTATTTTGTGTGGCACTTAAATGTCTCCTGATTGTTTCACATGTCGTCTGCAATATACCAGGGTATCATCCTGGTATCTTTATTTCCTTCCATCCAGAGCACCAACTCCTTGATGATCATAGAGTTGGCTCTCAACAAATATGTGTGCTGTATTATATTATACTCCTCTGACTCATCATTCTCGATTAACTGGGGCAGAGACAGCCGCAAACTGGCCAGACGACTGATTGCTGTGACTATCTCAGCCTGCTTTCACCACATATGACCCCAGACTACAGTGAGATGGTGCAAGCGGACAACAGCTGAGACACACACTTAGCAACCTGCCCCTCCTCTGTACCTGGGCACAGGAAGACACCTAAGAAACCGTGGCTCCACCTCAAATGGACCACACTGCCCAGTAAGATGTGCCACCCCCAAAACATGACATCTCTGCCTGCTATGGCTGCTAGTACTAAGTGAGTTAAATGAGACTAAAAAGGTTCATAACTTACCTTCATTTAAAACCTATTTAAAATATTAAAATAAATTATGAGAAACAAAAGAAAATGTCCTCTAATTCTCATTTTTCAAATGTAATTCACCATCTGACAAAAGGCTAACCTGAAACACTTCTCAAAGAATTCACAGAAAAACAATGTCCTGCACAGCAACTCTGGCAAAATGCTCATCTGAAAGAATACTAAAAAAAAATTCAATTTTATCATTCATTACAATAAAGCCAGGAAGGACCACGCATTACCATTAGATACAGGGACATTAGTGATAATAAAGACATCTGTGCTCAATGTTTAGAAAGAGGTTTTTAAATAAACTCACTTCATAGATTCAGTCCAGGAAAACCCCAAAGCAACAATGTCAACCAAGTATTGAAACAATACATGGTAGTGAGTGATGGCAGCTTTAATCTGTCCCCAAGCCAAAGGATTTCCTGTTCCAACTGTCTGAGACGCATATCGCTGTGTACTCTGATGAATGACAATGACGTCAAAATACAAATGACAGAGAAGTCACAATTTTCTTGTTCTTGATTCATTGCAAAAGGGTATGTGAGAAAAGAGATCACACAATTAGGATGGAAACTCATTTCCTTCTCTGTGCAGTGTCTCAATTACTTCTTCCAGGTCTATTCTTTGCATCTGGTCATGGTACAATTGTACTATGTGGGCTTTGTGAATATCAATGTTGTCGATCAGTCACAATAGCTAAACACTTGTCATATTCCTAGGTGGCCATCATGTTATTATAGAAATACAGTGCTAACCCCAAAATGAGGGGCCCATATGTCAAAGCCTTTCCATTTTGGATATAGATCAAACTGTCTCAGACTTGATCAGAAATCAATTAACCTCCAATCCCATTAGTCAGTCTTTGAACCAAAATATGCTATTCTGATTGCCAGGTATCTATGAAGCTTTTAAGGTGTTCTAAAGCCTGTCTGAAGCAAATTAATTATCTCCAAACTATCCACAGGCTTTGACAAAGTGATCTCAGTGCAAAATCAATGGAATGAAATCAATGTTCACCAGACTGTAAACTCCCACTGCCTTCAATTATATCTGGATATTGAAATTGCTCAAGTCTAAAGAAGTCTGAATCCATAAAATGCTTACTCATGTTTGGTAGCTATTGTCTAATTTCACATATAATGAATTTTTCAAAGGATTTATTATAAACAGTCCCACTCTTCTAGTTTTGTTACATTTCTTTTTAGAATATTAACTAGAACAAAATATGTTCCAGAGCATACTTTGTGACATGGCAGATCTTGTAATCAACAATTGTCATTCTCTTTGTGATCTTTAAAGTCTTATATAGTAAATATGGGCTAATCTTTTATATTCTATATTATGTTTACTACAGTGAGAGCTCAAATATAATTCTAACATGAGCAGAGTACTTAGATGTTGAGGATTTTGCACATACTATTCCCTCTGCCTGAAATGCTCTTCCTCCCCACTTCACTTGTGTAACTTCCATTCATCCTTAAGACTGTCCTTCTGACACGCCTTCTTCAGGGAAGCCTTCCAGGACTTTTCTGATCAGGACAAAACCTACTTACTACATAGTACACACTCTCCTAGCCCCAATTCACTCCTCTTCATGCAATTATCACCGAAACCAATATAATTTGATTGATGTCTCTCTTCCCCACCAGACCAATGAGATTAATGACTGTGTTTTTCTCATCATTTTATCTGTAGTGGTGGCATAATGTCTGGCACTTAGCAGGCAACTAATGAATAACTGTTTGAATGAATAAATGAAAGGGAAGACTGCTTGATATAGAAGTATAGGTACCATCAGACAGGGGAGGGTGGGTCTGGACAATTTCAAAATGCCATCTGCGGAGATTACTCTCTGAATTTAAACCTGACCACTTAGTATTTCCAAAACTGCAAGCATCTATAAATGTGTGTCTACACCCCCACACACACAATGTTGTGAAAATTGTTACAGGAGTCAATATTTTTTTACTATGTTTTCGTGATCTCATTTTTATTAATGACTAATAAAAATTGCAATGACTTACATATCCTGAGACTCTAAGAATCTCCCCAAATCACCTGATTCCAACCACCTATGTACAATGGAGCCATATATTGTGAGACTGTTAGATTCTGAAGTTGGTCTACTGAGTAAAAAAAAAAAAATCACAAAACTGTGAAAAGTTAGGAAAGTTCCATGTTGAAAATGGACATGCTTTCTTTCAAAAGTCCAACACAACCAGTTTCCTCCAAAAGTAAATTAGATATCTGTTTCTCCAATTCAGGGCCTGATAAAGAAACTGATTTCCATGAAGTGGCCATGTTTTACAAAAAAATATGTATAATATCTTTAGGCACTGGACCTCAGCTCGGCATTGAGAAGGATCCAGGGCTAAGACTTCCCAGGGAAAGAGTGCATTTGTGACTCCCAACTCACGCCCTCTTTGGGGCAAGAGCTCCTTGAGTTAACTGGCAGGTAGAATCACCCACTACTTGAAAGGTTTAAATTCACATAAGATACAATGCTACTGCTTCCTACCAACAGGTCACCCAAACTAAGTTTAAAACCTTCCATGATGGGGCACTTGCTCCTTGGCTTTAGGAGTGGGTTCCCTGAAGAGTTGACTCCACCCAGAACTGTTATAAATCAAAGTGTATTTTTCCAAGGATTTGCATCATGGATTCAGGTATGCCAGCCTTATAAGTTATTTCCTTTTCTAAAACAGCACTCATGCTGTTATGTGTTTCCTTTTTCACTGTTCCTCATAACCCTGTCAGGGCTGCAGAGGCAAAAATAGAAATCAAGTCCTGGCATGGGTCTCAGGAGGAAGCCGGCAATGGTGGGCACTCACCATCACAGCTGGGTTCTTCACGGTGATGCAGGGGGTCGTGGCTCGCAGGGCTCCACTAATGCCGTGGTAGTATTTAAAACAGATTTTTATCTCCGCTGCAAAACAATTGAAGAAAAACAATAATTTAAACACTGAAACCAGGCAGTTAGGAATCAGCTGAAGAAATCCACCATACCACCTCTCAGGCAATCCTATTCATGAGTCTTTGAATGGCCCCTTCTTTTCTAATCAGAGGCAACAGATTATACCAATTCCTGTTTGATTGTATGTGCTTCTCTGAAACTTTCTAACACCACAAACACATCAGAAAATGATGCACAAAAAAACATACCAAAATAGAAATAGTGTAGTGACAAGAATAGGACTAGCTAATGTTTACTGAGGTGCTCTGCAGTGTGCCAGACATAGTGTTATGCCTCATGTTTGTGTGGTCATTGAACTTTCACATCCACCTTGGGAGGCAGAAAATCCTGTCCCCATATTACAGATGAGGTGTTGAGGTTTGCTATAGGTTAAAGAGACTGGGA